GGTTCTACTTTGACACCGTGGAGTTGGGGGATTACACCAGTCAGAAACAACTCCGCAGCAACAGGTTGGGTTTTTGTTGTTGTTTCTTTCTATTTTTTAAAAGCAAAAGCTTCCTGTTCCTCCCACCCATCCTGATAACCACTAATAAGCTTTAGTTTCTGTGTATGTGTTCATTTCCTGTGAGCTCATACAGTATTTGTCCTTTTGCAACTGTCTTGTCTCACTCAGCATGTTTTCAAGGTCCATCCATGTCGTGGCATGCATCAGGATATTGCTTCTCTTTGTGGCTGGGTAATATTTTATTATGAGTATATACAGACCAGATTTTATCTATTCATCTGTTCATCTGATATACTTTGGGTATATTGCAAGGAGGGACCAGTCCTTGGAGAGGAACATCATGCTTGGAAGGGTGGAGGGACAGAGAAAGAGAGGAAGACTATCAATGAAATGGATTGATTCAGTGACTGGGGTAAGCAGAGTAGGTGTGTCAGAGACAATAAAGTCGGTACAGGATAGAGCAGGTTGCAGGGCTATTGTACAAAAGGTAGCTATGAGTCACAAACGACTTGATGGCACATAACAACAATATTCATCTGTTGGAAGACATTTAGGCCACTTTCACCTTTTAGCAATGAAGTGCTGCCGTGGACCTTGTCTGCCTTTGCTCCCTCCTCGGTCATAGCTGGGAGTAAGATTGCTGGATCACGTAGTGCCACAGGCTCCCTGGTGGTGCCTTCAAATGCCAACGGAAAAGCTGAAAGGTTGGAGGTTTGAACCCCTGAGCGGCTTCTGGGAGAAACGGCCTGGAGAACTGTTCCCGTAAGCATTGAAGGAACAAACAAATGAAACTCCTCAACACAGAGGAGGTCGGATGGTGTAACCTGGCGTAGGAAATCCTGTGAGAGAGGTCGAGGCTGTCCTACAGACTCGCTGTGAGCAGGAATTGCTTCAATGGCGCCGGAGAACTCAGTGGTCGCTATTTTCTGTCTGCAGTTTACAAAACACTTCTTGCTCTGGTGGCCTAGTGGTGAGGAATTTCTTTGCCAAGTCAAAGGCACTCAGTTCAAATCCAACAGCTGCTCCGCTGGAGAAAGAGGAGTGATTTTTTTTTATGCTATTAACTGCCTCTGAAAACTCGCTGGAGGGTCTGTTATGGATCGGTTCCAAGGTCTCTGGTCTAGAGGTCTAGCCTCTAGGTACTAAGCTTGCCTCTGCTTCTCCAAATATTTCACCGCTGGGCTGGGGCCTGCCTGCCTGTTGCTGGACCACCAGCAGACTCTTCTTGCCAGATTGCATTTTCAGTCTTCCTCCTCTGGCCCCACCCGTCTCCTCTCATCGTATTCCAGTCACACAAGCCCTTCTGAGCCCCCTTTTAGCTAATTCTCTCTCCTGAGATCCCATTATAGCAGGGATCAAACGCAAAGACTTTATAGTCCTTCGTCCCATCGTCATTCCCATCGCAGAACTGCCTTGTAGCACACAGAAATGTTAAAACCCCCATTGCTGATTTCCATGATTGATCTAGGGAGGTTCAGCTTAGAGGCCGTCGCCTCCAGGTAGTCTTCCTTCTTCTCTCCAGGTACCGCTTCCCCTTCCTCCCAGTTAGTTATTCATCCCACCCTCGGTGATCCCAAAGGGCTGGGAATCTGGGCCTCTAGACCTGCTTCTGTTTCTTCCCCAAGTGCAGGACCAGCTGGGAGCAGAGCAGGTGGCATGGGACAAATGAAGGAATGATTGAGTAAATGAACGCGTGAGTGGATGAGAGAAGGGAGGGAGTCTGGAGGTGGGAGCTCAGAACAAGAGAGGGAAGGCCAAGCCTGGGAGGCTATGAGGGAGGCTATGAGGTGAGGGGTGGGCTGGGCCCCTCCAATGCCCTCCAGTCCCCACTCCCGCTCGAGGCGAAGGGCACACCAAACCCCCAGGCCAGAAGAAAGGCTCTTCCCGATTGGTTCAGGCTAGAGGAAACGGGCCTTCTATTAGCTCATTCGCCGGGTTCTTGCCCAATCAACGCCATCGTTTCCTCCTGAGGGCACGCCCCCCACATTCCGCCCCTGGCTGCTGAGGCGGAGCCTTCCCGTCGCCCCTGTCAACCGTCCGCGGACCCAGTCGCCAGGGCAACCGCGCGAGGCCTCCCGTCAGCCTTCGCCGGGCCTCTCCCGTCCCCCTGACAACCGCTACCAGTTCCGGTCCGCCATCAACCCTTCCCTCGTCTCCTCGGTAACGGCGCGCAGCCCCGCTGCCCCCCCCGGCGCGGTCCCCAGGCTGCTCGCGGGCCTTTTCACCCCAGACCTCCGCCCAGGGATGGGGGTCCCTCATCCTGCCCCCAGCTCCTCCCCCCACCCCCGGGAGCCCCTGGTTCGGGGCAGGGGTGGGGCAGTCCTGGGGCCCCTGGCTGCCTCCCGCTCGCTCTTGCGTGGGACTGTCCAGCCGCCCCAGGGAGCTCTTCAAAATGCAGGCCATGTCCCTTCCCTGCTGAAAAGCCGCCCCTTGAGATTCAGATCCAAACTCCTCGGGGCCCAGGCGGTCTGGCCGGGCCGCTCCTCCTCCCACGCGCCCCCTGCGCACTCCTCCCTGGTCCCTGCCTGGTGGCTCCAGGGGGCCAAGCTTGTCCTTCATCCCCACTGTAGTCCTCTCCTCTGACACTGTAAGAACCCCCAGAAACACACTCCTCTCCCCTGAGCTGCCTTTCTAGCTCACCCCATACACAGGGCCCGGAAGAATACCTGGCACTTTGGTTGGATGAAATTACGTTATGTTGGTGATGATTAAGGACGAGGGTGGGATTGGGGGAGGGAGGGTGACTTGCAGGTGAGCTTGGGCCAGGCAGGCACATCTCAAATATAGGCGAATGTATTCTTGAGGTCCTCTAGGTTCCAAGAAATAACCGTAAGCTATTCTTGTGTGCATATAAACGACACGAAACAGAATAAACTATTGCAATGGGTTGGATTCCAACTCCTGACGACCCTATGAGTTTTTACAGGGTAGAACTGCTTCATAGGATTCTCTGGCTGTCATCTTTCTGAAAGGGAGCTCTGGTGACCTAGTGGTAAGAAGCTGCATTGCAATCCCAAAGGACTGAAGTTTGAATCCACCAGTTGCTTCCGGGGAGGTTGGGCAATCTCCTCCCATGTGATTTACTGCTTCTGAAAACCTCGAGGGTCAGCTATAGGACCACACTCAACAACCTTTCTGGAGGCAGATTTCCAGACCTGTCTCTGGTGGTGCCGGAGACGGCTAACCTTTAGGTTAATGGTCAAGCAGAGACTATACATGCCACCCAGGGATCTGCTGTCCCTAAATCTGATAGTTGGTGCTCTGAGCAGCCTGGCGACAACTGCCCAACCTTGACTATGCCCTCTCACCTGCTTTTGTTTGGAGGCTGCAGCCAGAGTGCCCTCTGCCTCCCAAGTCAGTAGATAGGTTGACTAATTTGGATGGATTCCAGCAGGTGGTGAGGTGGGCCTGGAATCACTTCTCCATGGTTTCTTAAGAATTCCTTTCCAGTGCTATAATCTGAAATCCCTGGGGACCTAAAGGGGGGCATAAAACCCTGGAAGAATGGTACATTGTGTGCTTGACTACCAAAAAGGTCAAAAGTTTGAGTCCACTAGTTGCTCTGCAGAAGAAAGGTGGGAAGTCTACTCCTATAAAGATTTACAGCTTCAGAAGCCCAATGCAGGGCCACCTGAGTCAGAATAACTAGGATTTGGTTTGGAGTTTTGAGGCAGAACAGCATCAGGCTGTGGCAAGAGAACTTAGCATTGCAGGGCCTAGAGCTATGACGATGGGGAGAGGCGTCCTGGGAACTTCTCTGGGTCATCAGAGTCCAGACACCTACCTACCTGTTTGCCCATAAGGGTCCTCCCTGTACCAAGTGGTCAGGTGCCAGGCAGCGAGTTTGCTGCCCTTAAGCCAGGAATACCATCTTCAGTGCCGTCTGATCTTTCTGGGATGGTGAATTGTTATTTATATTTCACCGAAGTGAATTTACATCTAAATTGGATTTAGATCTAATAGATGCAACTGGCAGTTACAGGAGTGGGCCGCACAGTGTTCATTCAGCTGAGGATTCAGACTGGAGAAGGGAGTCAGGAACAAAAAGATCCAAGTTTATGGTTTGGCAAAGAGAAGGGTGAGGGTCTATGGAGGGAGAGGTGGCACACACAGTCCCAGCAGCCAGTTTCATGAAGACAGGATCTGATTCCAAGGGTCAAAGTGCTTGCACACACTGGTCGCATAGGAACTGGCGTGCCTGAGCGCACACACAGACACACTCACGTGGGTCCAGGAGATCCAGGCCCCTGTGCAATCCAGGGGGCCACCCCCGCATGGATGCTTTTTAGGTGCACACACAGTCCATGTGTATTCCTAAGGGTCGCCTGTATGTACGCTGTGTGGACTCGCAGCTGTCCACAGGCTATGAGTATGTATTCTTTTTTTTTTAATTATTATTTTATTCATGTACCGTCAAATTGGATCTCACAGGTACAGGAGGAGATTGCACCTCCTTCTCCAGCAGAGCATCTGGAGTATGTATTCTTTACGGCAGCAGTGTGGCTCCTTGCCACTAGGCCACCAACGCTTCCTAAGGTATGTATTCTTAAGTGTCTGCACGTACCTGGGAAGGTGCACACAGCAGATGCGTGTTCCCGAGTGCGCATATGCATATGTGTTGTACAGACTCTCAGGGACACTCGTACATGCAGAGATGTGTGTCCCTGATTGCTGCTGTGTGGACTCCCAGGTACAGTGAGTGTGATCCTGTGTCTGTGTGCACATATGTTGTGTGGCCTCCTAGGCTCTGGCACATAGTGTGTGTGTGGGGGGGGTTGTTCTTGAGTGTCTATACCCATGTAAACTGTGTGGACTGCTCAGAGCACACACACGAAAGGTGCTTTTCGTGCAGATATGCGTGAATGGACATCAAGTCGGCTCCCATGCACACTGAATGTCGTGTGTCTAGGGCTGCACGTGAAGGAGCTGGGCAAGGGCTGCTAGTCCAGCAGATCTTGCAGGAAGGCCCACATGTACCGGTTCATCTCTTCGGGGTGGCTCTGTGGGATCCAGTGCCCCACACCTGGCATGATGTGGGCTTCCAGCCGGCCTGGTACAAAACGGCTACTGATGGCGCCCACCAGCCCTGCCTCCAAGTAGGTGTCCTTCTCTCCCCACAGCAGCAGGGTGCGCACAGCCAGCTCCTGGGGCGCCAATGGGAAGTTCCTGTGGACAGGACAGACAGAGGGATGGGCAAAGGGTGGCTGTGTCCCCATTACCCCCAGCAGCGGCTTTTATTTTTCGCCCTGAGCTAGATCTCACCTGAAGAGGTTGCGGTAGTAGTTAAGGGGCCCAGTGAGGCCCCCTGCCTGAGTTAAGCTGTAGAGTAAAGCTTCAAGTTCATTAGGGGACAAGCATTGGATGCCATCCTTGCGGTGGGTGAAATTGGTCTTCAAGATCTGGGCACACAGCAGGACTGGTTTGAATGCCATGCCCACTCACACCCAATCAAGCCCCCCCCGCCCCAGGCCTTCACCCCACAGCACCTGGAAGTCAGACATGGAGAGCAATTTCTCAGGTAGCCAGGGTAGCTGGAACAGGAATACATAGTTGGACCGGAAGAGCTGGGTGATGTGATGCAGGGAGTAGTCTGGTGGAAGAGGGGAAGACACACCAGAGGCTTGGTTCTGAGGTGGCCCCACACCCCTGTACCCAAAACATACTCATGCTTGGCACAGAATGCTAGCACAGCTATTGCTGCCTGAGCTTTTGGGGACACTCAACCCCCCAATTATTACTCTTGGTACCAGCAGTCAGGAAATGAGGCGGCGCATTGCACTGGGAAAATCTGCAGTTTCTGTAACAAAAAATGCATCCCAGGGCATCCACCTTGACCACCTCAGGGAGATCCCCCTATCCAGGCTGAATGTTCTGCTACATTCACATACATTTACTGAACTGAACATCTATATTGTTCTAGGCCCTATCACAGCATCTAACAAGACAGACAAGAATCCTACCTTTGGACAGCTCAAGTCTAAAGGGAGAGAAAAGATAAGAAAGACTCCATGTTGCGAGGCCGAGATGGAGACCAGGGGTGGAGAGAGAGAAAGAAATAAAAACAGAGATAGAGGGAGAACATGCATACACACACATTCACACTCTCTTTTTGAGAAAGAAGGAGAAATAAGAGGGTGGGAGAGACAGTGAAGAGAGACAGAGAGAGAAGATAAACAGAGAGAGTACAAGAAATGCTTGGTGACAGGGGCAGAGACAAACAGATGAGACAAGTAAAGGGAATATAAGAAACAAACATAAAGAGGGAAAGATGGTGATGGAGAGAAACAGAGATAATAGAGAGAGATATAGAAAAGAAAGAGGTAGAATTAAAATTAGGTGATGGGACAGGCATTATGTAACCAAAGATGCATCTCTAGCTAGTGCTGTTATCAGTGCAAGAGCCATAAGTAGGTTAATATTGTCACATCAATGGCTGCCCCTGTAAGAACTCCAACCTGTGGGTGGCTCTGATGGGCTGATAGTGATTTTAGACTAAGGGGAGGGGTCATCGCCTTTGTGTCAGCTGACTTGTGAGTGAAGAAATGCAGACACAGACACCTCCCCCTTAAGATAGGCACATTTTCACCCCAACTCCCGACACACCTTGGTACACAGACATGGGGGCACCACTGCTTATCACCAGGCGCTCTACCAGGGCGGGGTAGTAGATGGAGAAATTCCAGGCTAGCACTGAACCCCAGTCATGGCCCACGAGGATGCACTTGGAGTAACCTGGGTGTCAGAGAGGCAGGTTTAGATGAGGTGCAATCGGGCCTGGGGCAGGGGTGGGAGGTGGGACCCTACATGTAGGAGCAGGGTTTGGGGAGTGCACAGGATTGGGCTATGGCCAAAGGCCTGCCCCCACCTACCCAGGCCCTGGATGACATCCTGGATGTCTGTCATTATCAGGTCAATGGTGTAGCAGTCCACTTCCTTTGGGGCATCTGAGGGCCAGTAGCCACGCAAGTCCACAGCCACAACGTGGAAGCGGCTCTGGAACTCCCGGAGCTGGTAGCGCCAGGAGAACCTGCTCGGTGTGCAGGATGGAAAAGGCAGCTCAGCAGAGGCCTTCAGGGCGGCACCACCGCCCTCAGCCCTGCAGGGATTTTGGGCAACTCCACCTTCCAGTGTCAGACTTCCCAGGAGAGAGAAAAGAGGAACTCCAGTCTAAAGGCGGCTGCGCCCCGGATGCAGTGTGGCCTCACCTAAGTATTTCCTTATCCCACCCCTGAGAACCTTCCATCCTCTCGCATCCTGGTCCAGACTAGTTCCTCCACATCCCATCACCAGGCTGAGGCCCCTGTTCTCAAGGTTCTCTGTCCAGCCCCTACTCTCTGTGCGCCCTTGTCCCGTGCCTCCTCGCTCAGCTCCCCAGGACAGCCCTCACTGCTCGGAGTTCCACACCCCTTCACTCCTCCCCACCCCGCTTTCCGCGTTCCCCTCTGCCTTCTCCGAACCTGAACCCACACTTACCAGTTTTCGGGGAAGCCGTGCAGCAATAGCATGAGGGGCCCGTTGCCGCGGCCGGCGGAGACATAGTGCAGGCGCAGGCCGGAGCTCTGCAGAACAACGGGGGGGGGGGGGGGGAGCCTGAGCCCGAGCCCGAGCCCCGGGAGGACCCGCTCTCCCGCCTCCCACGTGCTCCCTCGGGCTCCAGGGCGCGCGCGCTCACCTTGAGGGTCAAGAAGTCATGCTCCCCCAGGGAGGGGTCGCTCAGGCAGGCGGGGACGACGTCCCGGGGGCGCCCGCAGCAGCCGCGTCGCGGCCGGCACAGCACGTGGGTGAACGCGATGCAGCTGTACACGGCCGCGGCGAGCAGCGCCGCCGAGTACACCAGACTCCACATGAGCGCGCGCACCAACTTCAGGGAGATGCGCGACGGCGCCAGGATCGCCGACACCAGCAGCTCGGGCATGTCGCCGCGCTCGGGGACCCCGGTGGCGCCACGGTCGGGGGTCTGTGTCTTGGGCTGCGAGACGAGTTCCGGGCTGCGAAGCCCTTCGCCCTTGCTCTGCGTTCCCTCCGTGTCGCGAGGCTTGTGGCGCGCACCGGAGCGCAGCTCAGACCAAAACCCGCTGGCGCACGGGTTAGGTACACACACCTGGGCTAAGAAGGCTGGGGCCAAGCCTGAAGGCTTGCGGGGATGGGGGTGGAACTTATTATGATCAGGGGCGAGGCCTGCAGGATGGGGGCGAGACTAATGGGCTCAGATGCAGCGGCTGGGGAGGGACCTGGAAGGACTGCGGGAGAAGGGTGGAGAAAAGTAGGGCCTAAGGAAAGCGGCCAGGGGGTAGCAGGTGAAAGTATCAGAGGAAGGGACCTGGAAGCAGAGGTAAGAGTTTATGTGGTCGAACAGTGGGCGGGGCTCGAGAAGGTGCATGAGAGCCAAACAGCGGGTCTCAAAACCTCATTACTGTCCAGTCGGAACAGACCCGCAGCTGACCCTCCAGTAGTTTTTCAAAGCCTGGAAATCCTACAGGAGGAGATTGCCCCATCTTTCTCCTTTGGAACTGGTGGATCCGAACTGGCAGAGAGAACGTGGCCTCTGGGTTATCAGCGCAACTTCCCACGGATCATGCCACCAGCGATTTCCAAACAGTTGGTGCGGTCCAGAAAAAAAAAAAAAAAAAAAAAAGCTGCACCAGGGAAGGGGCGAAGCCTGACCGGACTGCTTGAGCAGGTGAGTGGGAGGGACCAAGCCGGAGATTCCCTGGGAACTGAAGCGGAGGGCGGAACCGAAGTTAATAAAGCCCACCCCCCCACCCCACCCCCCTCCGGCCAGACCGAGAAGCATTGCTGGGGTCTCAGTTCAGACAGGGTGAAGGGAAGAGTCTCTGAAGGCGGTAGAGCGAGACCCGGAAGCGGAAGAACAGACACAGGTAGGGCTGTGGTTCAGGCCAGTGGGGAAGGCGAGCAGGAAGTGGGGAAGGGAGTCCACAGAGCTCGGGAAGCCCAGATGCAGCCTCTCAGCAGCTTCCTGCCACGCAGCGCACGACTTTCGCCTCGGTTCGGCGGGCGCCGCAACACATTCACCTCGTTCCAACAGCGACTCCGGCGGCCGCGGTGCCTCGCCCGGCTCCAATTGGCCGTGCCCTCACGCAGGCCCTCCTCTGCGCGGCCATGATTGGTTACCAGGAGGAGTTGATGGGCAGGATTGGTTACCAGGAGGAGTTGATGGGCAGGAGACAGAACCCTGGCCTGGAGCCAATCAGCAGGTGCCGGGAGTTCCGCCTCGCAACCAGCGGGGGCGGGGATATGACGGGGGGCCTCTCGCTGCCAGTACTTCTTGCAGGCCTGGTTTCTCTCCACTGTTGCAACGTTCCACCAAAGATCTCTGAGATAATGAGGGACTCTTCAAAGCATTTTAAAGACACATATTTAATCTGCATAGCAACCCTATGAATGTAGGTGTTATTATCACAGCTCGAGACTGGGGATTAAGTAATTTGCGCCAAGACAGATGATAAACAATAATTCACAAGGATCGACGTTTCCTGGACTTGTCTACCCACTCTGGCAGCTACTTTGCTTAAATGTCACTAAGTGACACTTCCCGCCTTTTTATAATTATGGTAAAATAAATATCACAAAATATTTTCATCATGTAAGACTGACACACTGATTATATTATTGTATTACATTATTGTATCGTGCAACCATCACCACTATTTTCCCAATTATTTCACCATTAACAGCTCAGTGCCAATTTAGCAATGACACCTTCCAACTCCTTTCCTTCCACCGTTAAAAACAAAATCCCATTAACTGTCAACTCATTCTGAATCTTGGGGACCCTCCTGTAGTACCCCAGGCTCCAAACTTTAAAGGGTGCAGATGTCTCCCTTTTCCTCACTGGAGTGCCTGGTGGATTGGTTCCTGGACCAACATGGAAGGCACCATGCCACCAAGGTGCCTTTCTCCCCACTCTTGTTAGGCGCTGTCAAGTCAACTAGGACTCAAAACAACCCTAACGACCACACACTATCTCCAACATCTGCGACATATTCAAGGCCATGGTTCCATTTACTATGTGAATCCGGCTCATTGAAGGTCATCCTCTTTTGGTAACCACTAATTTAGCTTTGGTCTCTGTATTTACATTTCATGCTACTGGGATCATACCATATACATCCTTTTGTATCTTATTTTACTCATGTTTTCAAAGTTAGTCCATTGTGTACATATTTTAGAACTTCATTTTGATGTTATTACGTAGATACCTTTGAGTCAGAACAGATTCATAGCTGACAGGTTTTCAGAAGCCCATTTTCCTGCTGCTGGGTTGGCAGCACATAGCTGAGTAATAGTCCATTGTGTCCATGTATCACATTAAAACTTTTTGGTTACTTTCACTTTTTGTCTAGTATCAGAAGTGCTACAGTGAAAACTGTTGTCCCAGTTCATGCTTGCATGCTTTCTGCAAGTGGGATTGCTGGATCATGTGGTAATTCTGTATTTTTCCAACAACTACCACTTTTCAGCAACTGCTCCACCCCCAATGGCATCAGCAATGGGCGAGAATCAGCATTTCTCCACATCCTCAGTTAAAATCCTCCTCCCCTTTTAAAAAGAAAACAAAACCAACATAACCATTCTATGAGTGTGAAGTAGTATTTCATTGTCATTTTTTTATTTACATTTTCTGAGGCATCATTGTGTGTTGACTGGCCATCTGGTGCAATTTCTGTTGAAGTCTTGTATTTTTTTTTGGGGGGGAGCTTTTAAAGATATAAACTATTCTGTACCAGTACAATATATTAATCTTACAAATGTAAAATTTTATCAACTGTTAAAGGATTTGCAAAAACCACACACCCTACTTCAGCTTAATTGCAGTTATCTATTATGAAAATACTACTTCCCCCCCTTTTTTTTCCTTGAGTATGGTTGAAAGTCCTACTGGCACAAGAGGAGATTGCCCCTCCTTCGCCAGCAGGGCACCTTGTGGATTAGAATCTCACACCTTCAGGATTATAGCAGAAAATAATACCTTTTAAATTGTTAGGTGTCATCAAGTCGTAGACGACTCATAGCGACCCTATGAATGGAAGACCTAAGCACTGTTCATAGTGTTTCTGGAGGCAAGCCATTTCTGAAGTGGATGCCACTCCTGCATCCAAGCTTGTTTTAATCAGGAAGCTCCACCAAGCACTGTCCACCACGGGTGACCATTATCACATTTGACACATCAGAGTCAGTATTCAGCGCTTTCAATATAGAAGAGACCATCTGATTTTAAAGACAATATTCTGGAAAAACATCTACCCAGAAAATAAACTTTTACCAGATACCAAGATGGAGAGATGCTTTGGCAAACATGGTGCAAAGCATTGTTAAAAGACCAGGCCATGGTACTGAACCCAAACTGTATCAGAACTCATTACGAACGGAGAGGCCAGACGAGCTGGATCCTTACCCTTGAAAAGGTTGAGGCATTTTTCAATGGAGCTTTCTGAATTTCTCTTAGCAAAAACCATGCTCTCAACAGCCATTTGCAAGCTTCCTTCCATCTGGCATTCTCTCACAATTGTTTACAACAACAAGTAAAGATCGCTTCCATTCATTTATGCTGATAGATAAAAATTTGCATCTGAGGCCATTAAGATGGCTTTCACAGCTTACGAGTATTTTGAGTCCTTTTTTTGGTCATTTGGCTTTTGTTGTTGGGTCTTTACTAGGGCCCACAGGGCAGGTGTTGACTGAGCCATGCTTCCTCACAGTCTGCTGTGCTTAAATCCTTCACCATACTCTGTTCTTTTACATTGAGAGGCCTTTCTTTCCCTGACCTCCAACTTTTCCAAGCATGATGTCCTTTTCCAGGGACTGATCGGCCCTTCATGATAACATACCCAAGGTATGTGTGAAACAATGTCTCCGTATCGTCACTTCTCAGCATTCTGGCTGGATTTTTTTCAAATGCAGATTTTTTTTTTTTGGCAGTTCATGGCAAAATTCAAAGGTATCAAATATTCTTGTCTTCCATATTCATTGCCCAACTTTCTCTCACACACAGAGCAACTGGAAATGTTAGGTGCTATTAAATACAACTCAAATCAACCCAATGAACAGATCTGAACCCTGTCCTATCCTGTGCCATCCTTGCAATCTCTGACACTCAAGCCCATTGCTGCAGTTACTGAGTCAATCTACCTGGTTGAGGTTTTCATCTCCTACCCCATCCGCATGCCTTTCCAAGTACAATCATGCTTGGACATTGTACTTGGAAAAGTGAATTATATAATAATACAATGGGTTGAGTCAAGTGAATGTTAAGTCTTTAAAGTGATCCCTGCTCTTTAGTTTTAAAAAGATCCTGGGAAGATTTGCCTTATCTTCCATACGTATTCATCATGGATCTAAGTAAAATGAAGTAACTGATAACAATCTTCTCATTTATAATAGTGCTTATCCACTTATGAGTATTTTCGGGGTTTTTCTTATATTGAAGTTTGTTAGAAACACGGCAGAACTTAAGTCTGACCAACCAGCACAGCGGTGAGAAGTCCAATGTCTTACCCTGTTGACTAAGGGTTTCAACCTCACAGTCTTTGTTCTTACCTGGTTTGCTAATTTGACCTGTGCTTGAGAGGAGGGGGTTAAGGCTGGAGGATGTTTGGAATTCCCGTTTTAGAGGATGTAGCATGCCAGCAACTGTCTTGGGCTGGTTCACAAGAATACAAGGACAAAGGAGTTTGTTTCTCTTAGTAATTTTCAGAAGAGGGTTCTTATTTCAGCTTTAAGGTCATCTTTTAACTTTTTGAAGATACATGTGTTTTTTTCCTTACAGGTGTAATCTATGTTGTTGACCCATCTTCACTCATGGAAACATACCAAAGTAAGAGCTATGTACTGTAATTTTTAATGGCTAATTTAAAATAGTAATTTTTTTGAAACAGATTACCAGCTATTCTTCCAAAGGACCTCTGGGTGAGCTTGAACCTCCAACCTTTCACATAGCAGCTGATTATGTTAACAACTGACCCCATGGAGAGGCAACCCTGTAACTGTACAAACTCTTGTTCAATTTCTGGACTTCTTATGCATTTAAAAAAATATGTGGTAAAGCTATTATGTAATGAAATACTTGCCACCTCAATAGTTTTTACACGTATATTTAATGACCATTAACATTTCTGTTCATCATGTTGTACCTCCATTGCCATTATTATCCCACTGCCAGTAACAAGAATTTAGGGCCTCTTCGATCAGTGACTGCCTCTCCTACCTCCTTCCCGTCCCTGGAAACCAAGAAGTCAATTTCTATGCATTTGTCTGTTCTAGAGTATTTCATGCAAGAATTATACTGTATTTTCCCTTTTGTGTCAAAGTTCATACAGCATAGGGTTTTCAAGATTCATGCATGTTATAACATGCATCAAGACATTTTTATGGTGGTACCTATTGTTTTTCTTTACTGTTACATGTATCACATTTAACTATTTATTCTTGATGTACATTCAGGTTTCTACTTTGAAGCTTTTATGACTAATGCTGCAATGACCATTATGTTTACGTTCCTGCTTCCTAATGGGTATATTGCCCACTTGTTGATTTTTGGGATCTTTCTTAAATTGTCTAATCTAGCTATTTGGCTGGTGGGTGCCTGGGAACCTTTCTTTCCTCATCCACTATGAAGACACTGGCCATCACCCCTCCCCCTTTCTCCCAGCTCTACCTTCAAAAAGACAGCAGAAGCCACAGGAGGGTATCTTTACATTCAGTATAAATGTTTATTTTTTCAATGAAAACTGCACAAAAAGAAAAAAATTAAAAAGGGGGGGTGGGAAATCCAAACCAGAACAAAAACCAGCTTTTAGTATATAAGTGAAATATCTACGAATCCCCTTCTACAAATGTCTAAAGTGTTTAATACAAGTCTCAGGTTCACGGACATTGGCCAAATGATCTGTGCATTCAGTACAGTGAGGGCTCACACACTCCTCATCCTCACTCTCTTTTGTACATGACTAAGATTTCTAGTGCTGCAGATGGGACCGGGGAACCCAGTTTTAATTACCCCTAGTTAAGAGACACCCACCAGTAGGTATTGAGAGAGCTGTAACCGAGGGCTGAAATCTTTAGTGGGAACGGACACGCAAAACCATTTCTCTAGCAATAATTGGACCCAGCCAGGAAAAGTCTTTCTGAATAAAAAAAGACACAAAAAATAAAAAAATGGAGTGGGACAGGGGAGGATGAGATGGAAGGATCCCCAAAGAAGTTTAGTTACTCTTGAACCAGTAGAATGGGTTATGAGGTGGTGCTGGGTAGGAAGTGGGACAGTGAGGATGTGGGGGTCCTGGATCCTGAAGCAAGTTAACAGTGGTAGAAACATTCCCCTTGTCAGTGCGTGTTGAGATAAACATGTCCTTGTAACTGCCATCCTTGTTACCAAGGAGGGGCAAATGGGTGGCTCTCTGGAGCAGGGATATGTGCGTGTGTCAGGTGAGGGTTCTGCTTTGAGGGAAGAGCATCGAAGAGTATCTTGTTAACCCTGAGCTTGAACGAAAGGAGTAGGTAAGAGGAGGCAGGCAGGGTAGGAGGTGGTCACCTACGTCCTCTGGTGAAATAGGGAATGAGGATAGAAGCAGGAAGAGAGCAGAATACTGTCTGTAGTTTGGCTGGAGTCTGCCTAGAACGTTTCCTATGTGGGCCTAGGTCCCTGAAAGACTAGGGTACCCAGACCCAACTCTGGCTTCCTGTCACAGATTCTGTGAGGGTAGTTGCTACACTTAGCCCCTGAGCGGCTCCTGCTGGAAATGCTGGGTAAGGAAGCAGCCTGTGGTCCGGCCTAGGCAACAAGTCGTTCACAAAGAAATGTCCGGGAGACACCATTTAAAAAAAGAGAGATGTGTTTATTCCATGATCAGTACAGGCCAGATGCATATTCACCGTATTAAAGTCAGACCAGTTGGGGACTCCAGAGTTTGGCCAACACTGAGGCACCAGCATCGTGGTGTGAAGTGGGTTCTCATGGCACGCACAATTTGCTGAGGGTTCCAAGTGTAAAATTTAAAAAAACAAAAACAAACAACAAAACAAAACAACAAACAGGGCAAGGGCTGCTTACTGGGTTCAGTCTGTGGCTCCAGCTTCACTGCCTGCCTTGGCCCCCAGCCCTGCTTTTCCCCATAAAAAAAAAACAAACAATGCAAATGCAAACAAATTTGACTTAAAAAAACAAAAAAGATGCCAACAAAGGAAGAAGGGGGGAATAAAACAAACAAACTGGAGGAAGTGGGGGAGAAAAGGAAACAAAGCTTTGGGGTTTAATAATTAAAAAATAGACTAATAAAATTGAAACTGAGTAAAATATAAGCAGTTTTTTTGTGTTTTGTTTTTTTGTGGAGTTTTTTTTTTTTTTTTTTTTTTGTTTGTTTTTTTTACACCAAGTTTGGTGGAGTCACCAACAAACTTCGAACAAATATATGCCAACTATGTTCACTATACAACACGTCCACGGTCACACACTACCCACAGCGCGTGGGGCCGCCGCGCAGAGGGACGGCCACACCATTTCGGAGATAAGCAGTGCCATTGTTTCTGGAGGCGGAGAGAATGAAAAATAAAATAGATTCCAACAAAAAATATATATATAGAAAAAAAAAAACCAAAACAAAAATACACGGGGGAGGGGACTGACTTTGGTTGGTGGCCTTGCTCCCCGGGCAGGCGGGCGGCCCTGCGCTCCGGCAGCCGTGGACACGTGGCTCCACGGCACAATTCCCTTTTGCACAAGCAAACACTTACAGAGAGCGGCTCTCGGTTAAAGGCTCGTGGGGAGGGGGGTCATCTGTTCAAGGCAAAGTCAGTGCCAGTAGGGGTTGGGCGGCACCCGGTGCCTCCAGCTCTCGGGCCTGCCCTGGGCTCCCATGTGGTGTGGCAGAGTAGGAGGTCCTCCCGCAGGCAGGGTGTCCCAGTGTCCTGTTCTCCTGGACAGAAGACTGTCCCAGCGGTGGCAACGGTGTCGTGTGCACATGGTTCGGACATTTGGCGAGGAGGCTGCAGCTCGTGGTCTGGCAGCGCGTGCTCATAGGAGGCGCGCTCTGCGCGGCGTCCTGGAGTCCAGATTGGTAAGGCAGACAGGCCCTGTGGCCCTCGCTGCCCTCAGGCCTGCCCGGGCAAAGCATGCAGGAAGGCCAGGCCCAGAGACGCCCCGTCGCCACTGTGCCACCTTGCTGCTGCTGCTGCTGCCCCTAACACTATGAGAGTCGACATTTTGCCGGAAAATCAAAGTCAGAAGTCACCTAGGTGCTCTCAGAAAAGATTTTCTTCAAATATTGACAATAGATCACTCTGGAAATTCATGTCAATAGTAGCTGCCATCTGTGAGAGAAAAAAAATGAGAGAGTGAGGCCTGCGATCCTGTTCTTGTAGCTCCAAGATCACATCACCCCATAGGTGCCTACAACCCAGAAATTCCCTGTAGTAATTCACGCAAAGCTGCTTGAGCCACTGGAGACCCCAGAGGCCGGCACAGCTCAAGTACAAAGGCAGTGCTCAGCCTGGTGCTACTGCAGGGATGCGAACAAGATCACCTGTCCTCTGGGGCAGAGGCTAGGCCACCCACTCACCGCTTCCCGGCGCCTCCGTTCCTGCTCACGCTTTCGGGCCAGCTCCCGCTGCTGGTCCAGCATGGATTGGGGCTGGGAGCTCTGGGCCTGGGGGGCAGCGGCGGCCACAGCAGCTGCTTGCTGCTGCTGCTGCTCCTGCCGCTGTTGCTGCTGCTGTTCCTGGCGGCGGCGTGCCTCCTCATGGGCCCGCCGGGCCTGTTCCAGTGCGTCTTCATCCTCACGGCTCCTGAGGGAGAAGTAGGGTAGGTACCTGGTCTGATGGCCCAACATCCTATGATCCCCATAAACCGCATCTATTCTGTTCCTGATGACCCTGTACCCCCTGGCTCTAGTCTACATCCCTGTGCACCAAACCCCTGCCCACCTCATGCGCTCCTGCCGCAGCCGCTCCTTCTCCTTCTCCGCGTGCTCAGCCTGTGCTTTCAGGGCTTTCTCACGTTCTTCCTTCTCTCGCGCTGCACGGCGAAACTGCTCAAAGCTGTCACTTGAAGACTTGGCCGTGGAGGATGGGGTAGTAGGATGCTTCTGCACCAGGCTCGCCCAAGAGCCCATGTTTTTAATTTTCAGGTCCTGACAGAGGGCAGACAGTGCTGTAGTCACTTGTGGTTGGGTAGCCCTGTGGCAGAGGTGCTTCAGGACACCATTTGTGGTCCCCATCCCTACCTTTTTGGGTGCAACTGGCGTCTTGGGTTCCTGTTTCTGCTTGTCCTTATCAGAAGCCCCTGGTGGGGGTGCATTCTGCTCTGGGGGCCGAGCCACAGGCCTTCCGGTGTCTACAGGCTTCAGCTCTGGCCCTGGAATACATGGAGCCCATGGTTTGGGATGCTGTCCAGGGAAGCAGGGCAGATGCAGGTGGGTGGCCAGGGTGGGGCAGGCACTCACGCTGGGGAAGGTGGCTGGGCGCTTTGATGCTCTCTGGGTGCTTGGGGGGCTCGGGCCGCAGTGCAGGGCTGAAAGGCTCACTGCGGACAATAGGTGAGTGCATCTTCTCCTCTTTTACCACCACCAAGGGCTGAGACTGGACCACAGAGGCAGCACGCAGCTCCTGGGGAGCACGGGCCAGTGGTGAGGTGGGTGGGCAGCCCCACCCCAAGGGCAGCCCCAGGTGTGGTGGCTCTGCCCTGCCTGTTACCTGCTTCTTAGGCTGGACGTTCTGCTGGGGTGGGGATTGGTGGGTCAGGCTCTGGAACGGTGGCATCTGGGGGGAATGTATCATAAGCGGGGAGGGGGCTTCACGGAGGTGACCTAGGAGAGGGCACAGGGATCGAGTCAGCACAAGTAGGGCAGTGCCAGAAGAAAGCACGAACTAGAGGGACAGGCAATCTGCGCGGACTGCAGATGTTCCCAGGCCAGGTGCTCACGATCCTGATCTGTGGTGGAGCTTGAGGAACAAGTTATACTTGAAGTAATTTCTATGGTGGGCTAAATACCATAGTACAAATTAATCTGCCAGGGGGTACTGTGGCTACTACAAAGGCAGTATTGGTCCTGATCCCTGATCCTCTTGCCCAAGATCAGGCCTGAAACATCTGCAACTCAGGCAGGTTGGGACAATGAGTCCTGGTAAGCTTGCAGCTTAAAGGGAAAATGGGCTCGCTTGCTTGTACACCTGTGCTCTATACCAACCAGAGGCCAAGAGGGGTAGCCAGCCTCACATGGCTAACACTGGTTTCGTTCTCTGAAAAGGAACCTCGGCCAAGATGGGGAATCGGTGGCAAGGCTGCTTTTGACTCAAGCCAGAGTCTTACGTAAGCCTGACTACCACCTCTGGTCCAGGGAGCCGTTAAATCTAGATTTTATGTGGTGGTTTCTCCAATGATTGACTAGTCCTATGACCCTGTCCCTAGTGAGAGTCCCAGGAGAGAGGACTTGAGCTTTCTACAAACCTAGCACAGTACCCAACCTATGCTTCCCACTAGGGCCAGGAACCCTCTGAATTGGAGAAGCCCAACACCTGCTTGTCCTGATTCATCCCTTCCTGCAGCCTGTCAGGACCACCCTGCACACTGCTACCCCAGTCAGTGCCAGCAACTAGGCTCTCAAATACTTCTATCCACCAGCCTCTGCTGTCCCTTTCTTATCAGCGTTCATGTATGAGGTCAGTACCTTAGGAGTGGCTCTCAAGTGCAAACTGAGGCAGTGGACCTCACCCATTGTGCTCTGACTTTGGCCTCCACATCCATAAATGCCTGTGACATGTGCCAGGACTAGAGGCTCCACAGAGGGCTGGACCAGGAGTATACTCCAGTGCTGACATTTCTTATACAGCCTTCATCACTCATGGGCCCCAGGACTCCTGGCCTTGATCAAGTGAGGATGGACACCCACACAGCTGCTGTAATCAATGCCGCTGCATCCTGGGAGAGGCATGCAGCCATTCTCCACTCTCCTGCACTGTGAACCGATGGGCACTGCTGCTCCCACTAGATCAGGAGCCTTCCTGGTCCCCCCCGCCCCATGGCTGATGTGCACAGTGTGCATTCTAGTATTCACAAAAAGCAGGCTGCACATACCACAGGCCTCAGTAGAGCACTTCAGCCAAACCCCTGCCCATTCCCGTGTCATCAATCAGTGAAAGCAATCGCCAGAATGAGAGAGCAATCACCAAGAGAGCAAGGGCCTGCTCTACACACAGGCAGGAACGGATTAGGCTGAGAACAGAGCCTGCTGCTACCAAGTTGCTACTGTGTCCAGGAAAGTCCACCTGTGCCTCATCCTTTGCCGACGATATCCTGCTGTTGTCGACTGCTTTCTCCGGGAATCCTTTCCTAATGTCCAGGGACACAGACCAGAAGTTGTCCCAGCCCTACCCTAGCACGGTCCCAGCAGCCATACCACTTTTAACTTTCAGAACAAGGGCAGCACAGCTATGCTTAAAGGTTAGTCACAGGAGTAACAACATCACTTCTCAGGTACTCAAGAGCCTCTCTGGGACCACCAGTTCCAGCCTTTTGGGGCTCCCACCTCCCCACCCAGGATGGGGCACTTACCTGTAGAGTAGGGATCTGACTTGTGGTGCCGGGGTGAAGGGTGGTGCTGAATGACCTGCTGTGGCTTGGCAGGAGGTGGTGGGGGTGGCTGCTGGCCAGGGGCTGGGTGTGAGGGCTGCTGGCCTGGGGGTGGTGGGGGCTGCTGGATGTGGGTAGGGAACTGCAGGTGCACAGGCCGGGGTGGTGGTGGGTGTGGCTGTGGCTGAGGCGGGGGCTGGGGCTGGGGTAGCTGTGTTGGTGGTGGTGGAGGGGGCTGCAGCTGCTGCTGCACAGCTGGGTGAGGTGGGGGTGGCAGGGGCGGAGGGGGCTGGGACTGCACCTTCACGGAAGGGAGTAGAGGGGCTGGTGGCTGGACTTTCTGCAGCTGCTGCAAGTACAGCTGCATCTGCATGGAGGTGAGGGGTGGGGCAGGAGGCTCCTCCTCCTCCAGCAGCACTGGGGGAGGCTGAGCCATAGGTGGCTGTGGGAGCAGGGCTGGCTGCGCCAGGGTGGGTGCCACAGCTGGGGGCCGTGTTGACTTGGGGGGCAGGGCAGCAGCACGGTTGCTGGGCCGAGAGGGCTGTTGGGGCAGTGCGTTGTGCAAAGCTAAAGGAAAAGAAGAAATGAGGCTTGAGACCAGTGCTCCTCCTTCCCTATCTATGGGAACTCTACTGGCCTCTCACAGACTGCCCTGCAGGCCATAGTCACGCCTCTACCCAACCCAACTCCTAACTTCCCAGTAAGACAAGACCTTCTCAACTCCTCCTCCCACTTACCCTCCCTTAGGCCACCCTCAGCTCCTAAACAGACTCGCTCTGCCCTGTCACTGCCACTCTCTCCGATCCAGTAGTTTTAAGGGATGATGGTGGTCTCTTTCTGACTGGGAAACACAGAAGTAAAAAGTACATTCCCCAATGACATGGCAACTGGCAGGCAAATTCCCCAGTAACCCTATTCTGCTTGGTATCAAATGAGTGATTTACGTCAAACCCATTTTAGAAACTGAGGTTCGAACTGGCCATAGTGCCCTCATCACAGATGTACTCACCTGGGGGGGAGACCACGGTGTGCTGGTTGAGGTGTGGAGGAGTGCTGTGCTCCGGTGGTGGTGGCAGGTGAGGTGGCAGCTCAGGTGGTTGTAGGTGCATAATGGGCTGGGTGAAGTGGCTGAGGGGGTCGAAGACATTGCCTGGGAGCGGGGGCTCCAGTACAGGCACCTGGGTGGCGATGAAGGGTGGAGGGGAGGCCTTGAGCGCCGGGGCTGACTGCTGTGGTAGGATGGGTGGGGGCTGTGGGGCTGGGGGTTGCTGCTGAGGTGCAGGTGGCGGCGGGGGCTGCTGAGACGGTGGCGGGGGCTGCTGCGGCACAGGAGCAGGGGCCTGCTGCATCTGGTGGTGATGGTGGTGGTGCTACAGACAGTGAGACAGACAATAATGTCAGACAGACCTGGCCTAGCTGGGCTACACCCAGAATCCTCCCAAGAGATCTACATACCTTCTTCTGCTCCCGCCCTGGGTGCCCTTTCTTCTTCTTTGGAGCCAACTCTGCAGAAAGAAAGAGAAGGTGTGAGACATGGGATAGGGAGGTATTTATTTGGGGGCCGCGGATGAAAGGGATAGGGTAGGGTTCAGATGACTGGGATACAATAAGGGCACACTTAGGCGTGGGACTAGGGACACTACTAACAGGGGAGTCAGGCTCAGTCTGAAGTCACTGGAGGTCATGCATGGGGTATCAGCTACCCTTCTGCCTTTCCCTCATAGGGTCATCCCCTCAGCTCCCCAAGCCAAGACGCCCAGCACTGGCTCCACTATGAGAGTGGTCCCTAGGCCCCAGAGACGCCACGAAGCCTACCCGCCCCACTCCCCGTCAGTGAGGTTTGAGTGCTTTGGGACTGACTGGCTTTGTTCTGGAACTACCACTTGGATGCTCAAAATGATCACGTCCATCTGACGGATGAGCAGAACGAGGTTCACCTGAGGTCTCACAGTTCAAAACCAGCAGCAGCTGGGGATACCATCTGTACTACCTCTGGGGCCCACTCCTTCCCATCATCTAAGGGGCTGCAGAACTGGGTTGGCTGGGGATGAAGTGCCATGTGCAGGGTCCTGGGGCAAACGAGGCTCCGCTGGCCAGCTGTGCTTATTAAGGTCGCCACATCCACACCCATCTCCCCGGATCACTGGAACTCAGGGAGCAGGTGCCCCTTGCCCTTTTGAGCAGCTTCCTTTCTGAAGCAAGAGCTGGCCTGTGCCATGGTTACTGAGGCTTCAACAATGTGGACGGACCCAGAACAGCTCGCCTGCAAGGAGTGCTCAGATGTCAATGTACCAACCTTCTCATACCCCTCTGGAGCTTGGCCAGACATAAATCTTGCCCAACACCCAATGGAGGGAGAGGTGCTCAGAAGCGGTAGGGTCACGAGGTATAGCTATGCCAAGTCTTGGCAAGAGGTGACCTACCACCCCTCAGGCTCTGTCTTGCTTCCCAAGTTCCCCTTCCGCATGCCAGCTCCTCCCAGGTTTCACCTGAGGCGACCTGACCCCAGCTCAGAGCTGCTGCAGGATGCATGGCCCCAAGGAGCAGTGTGTCACTAAAGGGAAGGCGGCTTTATGAGCACGGACCACCCATACCAGAGACGAGACACCAAGAGACCTCAGCAGCCACAGACACACATCCTCACAAGAGGGCAGTAGCAATGGGGACAGAGGTGACACAGAGCTGGAGGCGCAGTGCCCAGTCAGACACCAGAGAGGCAGGACAGGGAGTTACGGGCTTTGGGAAACAGCCTGATGGTGGCAAGAGGGGAATCTCACAGGCAGGTTGTAGAGGTGGGGACAGTTTTGGTCAATCTGTAGGGTCTGGGTCACAAAGGGGTTGAAAGACCATATTATATAGTTCCAAGACCTCAAAGCAGATGACTGCCAAGCAGGGAGCCTGAACTGCTGCTGGCTTGGAGGGCAGTTTTAGGCTGACAGGGAGGGAAGGTTTAGGGAGGCAGCAGGACACACAATTCTGACCAAGCAAAGCCTTAAAAGGCAGCCAGACACTCATCATAGGGGAGTGTGTGAGAGTGAGAGTGAGAGTGTGTGTGTGTGTATAGAGGGAGGTGCTAATGGGTCCTTTAGGAGGGCAGTGAGCAGTGGATCCATGAGAAGACCAAGGGCAAAGTGAGTGGGCTCTGCACGGTCCTGGTGCTCTCGGGCACTGGGGCAAGTTGCGCCTAGTGTCAGGGTTCCAGGGAGGAGACAGATGGAAGTGCACGGCTCCAGGACAGTGCCACAACCACACCAACCCCACCCCCCACAAAATTCTCTAGAACGGGTTACATGAAGATGGCCTCAAGCACGGTGTGTGATCTTTATTCCACGACAATTGCGAACTCAACACAATTTCAGCTTTACATAAGATGATAATTGTACAAAGATTTTAAAAATTTCCGAAAAATTTGATTAAAACACTGTGTCCCCCTGTCCCCAGCCCCCCTGAAGTGAAAGACAAAGAACAGAGGGTTAGGTGCAGGTAGAGTGGTAGGACAGAGGGCTGAGGCAGGAGGAAGAGGGAGTGGAGAGGACAGAGTGGAGAAGGGGCAGGGAGGAGGAGGAAGGAATTAGGCAGGGCAGAAAAGAGTAACAGTGAAGGAAGGATGAAGGGTTCGGACGGAGTGGAGAGGACCAAGCAGAGGGGGAGGATGGAGGATCAAGGGTGGGGCAGAGAAAGACTGGCCTGAACTGAGCTGCCTGGGGGTGTCTTGATTCATGGGTCTTGAGGGCTAGATCAGCCAGTCCTCGGCAGTGGCCACCCCTTCCCATCCTTCAAGATCCACAGCCCAGCTGGTATGTATGTAAAGACCCTCTCTAGCCCCACAGGCTTCATCTCAGAAGAGGTTGTAGGGCCTGTCTCCTTTGGTACTGCTCCAGGAGCATGACACAGGTGACTGCCCTAGTCTGAAGACTTTTCATTGGGCTCAGAGCTCTCCCTGCAGGCAAGCAGATAAGGCCCGAATGGCCAGAGGGAAGGACTGGCAGGGCCCAAGTGCATCCAAATGTATGATACATGTAGGGGAACTCTGATGGAAACCCAACATTGGGAACCCAGTGTACTCTTCCAGAAAGATGCCCGTAGACCATGCAGCCCTGTGGGAATCGCTGGCAGTAATTCTGGGCCTCGCTGCATTACACTGGGAAGGGCCAGGCACAGGCCAAAGGGGAGCTTAAAATAGCCTGCCTGGGCAACGGAGCTCGCCTGGGAGCCTAACTAAGGTCAAGATGAAGGTCAGACAGGGCTGGGCAGTAATAAGGCTGGGAATGAATGGGGAGAGGCCTACCATTGGGGCAAATGTCCCTTTTGGCACCCCAGGAGATGATGGCCTTTGAGAAGGACCATGCATGTGCACGCAAACTCCACATAAGAAGGAAATGCACTCTGATATGGACTTGTTCCTCAGGGGACTGTGTGCGTCACACAGTTTTCTGCCATGATTCTGGATTTATGACCAAAAATGGGCTTGTATTTATTTTTAGAGCAAAACAGCCCATTCCAATGCCTCTCAGAAAGTGATCACTCTGGCCTGCCCATCCCCTATTGGCTATTACCATTTCAGACTGGGGATGCTCCCACTGACAGCACCCTTAGCCAAATGTTAGGACAGATCCCAAGGTGCTGACGGCTGCCCACAGGTCCAAGCCACACTAGTGTGGACAGACCCCAGCCCTATCAGGAGGGGAGACAGGGCCTGAGGCTGGCCAGTTGCATAGTTCCCAGCACTTGTCTTGAGGCTTACCCTACCCCAAACTCCAGGGCTAAGGATGCGCAGCCCTCTTCTAAGGCTGGGGAAGCCGTACAGGGACCCTTCTATGCGACTGGGAAAAGGCCAAGAAGAGGAGCAGGCAGTGTAAGTTTCTGGAAATGCACTGGACAAAGAAGACAGGGAGGCCTCCAGGAGCCAAGAAATGGCTGTGGCTGGGGACCCGTGTGGCTGAGTTGGCCTGAAGGAGCAGAGGGAAGCCCCTGGGGGTCAGCGGGCCTCATCTGGGAAAGCTCTAGAGTGTTCTTCCTTAGGCTGAACGAAAGTCTCCTTGGCTAATGTCACTGCAAGTCCTGGAGGGAGCAGAGGATCCAGAGTCCCAGGAAAGAGGGAAGGTGAAGAGAACAACTTTGCGCCTGGGCAGCATGCCACGTGCGCAGGGGGGACTGTGCCACCCCTGGAAGCTG